CATCATTGGCCAAAGGGTTCTCAGTTTTGTATAAACGGAGGGTATGGTCCCACTGGGGGCAGAGAGGCGGGCCAAATAGGGGGAAAATAGGTAAATCAAATAGAAGGATTTTGACCAAATTTGTCCTAGAGCATCTTTGGACAAAGGAGACTCACGTTTGTATAAACAGAGGGTGTGGCCCCTCTGGGGGCGGGGCCCAATAGGGGAAATAGAGGAAATTTTTTCTCCTACTATACAAGTCAAGGGATTTAAACCAAATGCAGTCTGAAGCATGATTAGGGACAAAAGAATCAATTTTGTATAAACTGAGGTGTGTGGGCCCCCTTCTTTGGGGCAGATGGTGGGGCCCATTAGGGGAAATAGAGGAAAACATCAAAGATTCATCTCCTTTTGTACCGATGAAGGCATTTTGACCAAATTTGGTCTGAAGCATCATTGGCCAAAGGGTTCTCAGTTTTGTATAAATGGAGGGTATATGGTCCCCCTGGGGGTGGGCCCAAATAGGGGGAAAATAGTTAATCTTTAAAAATCTTCTTCTCAACCAATTGAAGGATTTTGATCAAATTTGTTCTAGAGCATCTTTGGACGAAGGAGCCTCAAGTTTGTATAAACGGAGGGTGTGGCCCCTCTGGGGGCATAGGGGCAGGGCATAGGGGAAATAGAGGATTTTTTTCTCCTACTATACAAATGAAGGGATTTAAACCAAATATAGTCTGAAGCATGCTTAGGGGAAAAAAACTCAATTTGTTTAATTTGTATAAAAAGGTGCATGTGAGGGCCAATAGGGAAAATAGAGGAAAACTGGGACATAACATGGGAACTCATTTTCTTGGTGTCTTTCCCACCAAAACAGATTTATATGTAGTTCTTCTTGCAACTTTGTTTTTGTACTCCTCTGATAAACCTGTATGGTACTCAGCTGGTTTTAAATTGAAAAATAAAACACCAGGTGAGCTATTAAGGCCCCTTTGCCTCTTGTTTAAAATGTGGCACAAATCGAGAGAGACCACTCAAAAAGGTAGAAAACAAATGTTCCTAGTTGTTTTTAAGGTAAATATGACAAATTTCAAAATACACATCTTTTGAAGAAATGTTTGAAAGAAACTTTATATTTTAAACTCCCATCCTCACAACAGCTAGGGTCATATGAAGTCGGGTTTATATATCCTCAGCAATGATAAAATGTATGCTAATTCTTAAATACATACTACTTTAAAATACTTAAAAAATCGAACAGCAGGTTCCATTTGCTCTAAAAGGGCATTTTTATGTGATTTAGTATTTTCTTTTTCAAATCTCGTATCTGAGAAGCTCTTCCAATCCGTGAGTTACAGATCACCTGAAATTTGAACCTGAAGGTCAGTGTAGTGTGTACATGTACTGCATTCATCATGAATAATCAGTCATGGTCAGAGGTCACTGACCAATCTTGATAGTAGTGTGTCTATCTACTTAAAAATGTTTACAAATACAGTCATACATTAGCATTTGTTAGTCAGTGTGGGGAACAACCTTGAAACTGTAGGGTTTAAATGTTTAAACACATCTGTCTTTACTTAGCAATCCAAACAGTCTTTTTTATTTGTAACATGTTCACATATCATTATTACTGGACAAACAACAGTCAGAAATATCCTCCGGGTGGATTTCGAGGCAAATGAGGACCATTTAATGCAAGTATGGGATAATCCTGAAAGTCAGAAGATATCAGAGATTGATGGTATATTTGATTGGTTCTTCACCTTTATTGTGACCATTTTATTGCTGTAAGTAACAGGGAAAATTCTCGTGTTGAACTTTTCAACTTAAACTATTTTCATTGTGGCATTATTTACATTCAAAATGCCACTACAAATATCTCTAGTATGTTCAGGAGAGCATTATTTTGGAATGATATAGTAAAAGTGAAGTTAACAGAAATTTGCAGAGTTTATAAATGTCCAGTTTTACGGTAACTGACCGCTCAATGACCAGCTTCAACTTTGTAGCTGTTATCACCTGTAAATACTTAAAGACAGTTCAGACAGTCAGGAAAAATGTATTTATAAATAATTATCATTGTCAGAGATACATAAATATACTACATATCAATACACTTCAACAACAGCCTATTATTGTCGACATATCAGGAAACTTACCTTGAACTTAACAATTAAGTCAATTTGTGAGATATATACCTGTAGTTTTACAATAATTGGTAATTTATAGTAGGTGTGATTTCCTGCCAACATTCCGCCGTTTTCACTTAAGAGATACATGTAGACATGGGTCATATCGGTCATACTGAATTGTATTAATTCAATGGTCAGTGCATTTGACCAGGCCTAGTAATGATCAGCTATGGGATTAAAAGGAATTTGATGTATGTCTACAGTGAGATGGTAAGTATCCTGTTATAGAAATAAGGGTAGCTTCTCAGATGAACTTAAGACATTCATAAAAATATATCAATTTCAACAAATTATCCTGACAACATTTCATATTAGATTTATGCATTCATTTCAAGATTTCAGTTTCATGGAACAAATTTTATTTTTGTGATAAAAATTTAAACCCCAAAACGAAATATAATCCTTGAATTTTTGTATGTGAATTTCAATTTCATGTTGGGTTTCAATTTCGTATTTGAGTTGTTTTTTTGTTAAACAGCCAGTGTAGTTATATATTACAGTTGAACAGCCAGTGTAGTTATATAATTATGTATTACAGTTGAACAGCCAGTGTACGTAGTTATATATTACAGTTGAACAGCCAGTGTAGTTATATATTACAGTTGAACAGCCAGTGTAGTTATACATTACAGTTATGCTCACCATATTAAGGTGTATATTTTACCTTCAATCTGGTATCCCCTGCATTTGAAATAAACTGTTTCTAGGTAGAGACATGACTTTCATATATTGAAAGTCCTTGGTGACTTTGTATATTTCATACCTATGATATTGTATATGTACTTTGGTTGACAGTACCTGACGGAAGTACAATTTTCAATAAAATCAAGCAACATAAATAACCTGTAAAACTAAATGCTTTGGGATGATCAGAAACACTCACTGATGTTTTAGCCCCTGTGAAACATGTTTGCCAGGTGTATTAAGTTGGGCTCTGTCCATCTGTCCATCTCTCCATCTCTCCATACATTCGCAGCATCTGCAGCCCAAAACCATTTCCGTATCCCTACAACACCTTGTACACTTAGCATGCAGGCTATAGTCTAGTGCTGTAGTTATACCTTTTGCTGTTTCAGAATTCTTATTTTCAATATCTGCTTCTGTTACTTTTCTGTGGAAATGAATAAAATACCCAAAACTTACAAAATTTGTCTGGACATCAACTTTAAAATCAATCCACATATCTCTATGAAACCTTGTACATGCATCAGACTAGCTACCTACTGGTATTTGTGACTTTTCCTATTTTGAAATTCTGATTTTTAATTGTCCTCCCTGTAACCATGGAAACAAATATTTTAACATACTAAATTCGTAGTTTTCTTACCGGGACATCATCTGACCGTGGCCATAAATTTGACCATACAGAGTTTTCTGTCCATTTATAACCATAATATTTGAAAACATTAACAGTAAAACACACGGAGGATTTACATCAAATACAAGTAGAGTGATGGGATACAGTTGATATATGCATGTTTCTTTCTTCGGCTATCTTCTTATCAGTAGTGCTCAAGGGAAAATGCCACGGTTTGCAGTGCCTTGCTGCTGGTGATATTTAAATGTGAGATGATACATTGGTTTGAAGATCCAAACACTTTCCAAATTGATATGAAAATGATCTCCGATTTGAGTGACAAATGGCTTTCGAGATTCCATCTTGGAAAAAGTAAATCCATGCACATCCGTCATATATTAGGAGAACATGCAAGCATATTACTTAAGTGAGAAAGCTCTAGAAGAGGACTAGGCCATGAGAAGGATCTTGGAGCGATTGTATACAATACCCTAACATTTAAAGGCTAAATTCAGTGTCCACTGTCATTCGATGAATTTTTCATTACATGAAAGAACACATTCCTGGGATTATATAAAACTCTTGTTTGTGTTCGATTAGAATATGCAAACATGGTATGGTGCCGATAAAAAGTTAAAACATATGATTTATGGGAATGAGTCCAAAGAAGGGCAGGACTATCGTGGCTGAGTGGTTACAGCGTCTGATCGTCTTTGATCACTAGCCCTCAACCACTGGGTCGCAGGTTCGAGGCCTACGTGGGGCAGTCACCAGGTACTGACTGTAGGTCGGTGGTTTTTCTCTGGGTACTCGGGCTTTCCTCCACCACCAAAATGTCCATAATGAAATGACTATAGCTGTTAAAAGGACATAAAACACTAACAAACCAAACCAAGGAAGGGCTCCCAAAAGAAAACTTGTTTGTAGAGAGGATCATACAGATCAGGAAATAAACTAAACCATAAGCAGGAATAGTGTAATTATCAAAATTGATACCGTATAATGGGTTATTTACGCGGTATTTAATTTTCGCAATTTTGAACAAAAATTAGAAAATTATATTTACATGGATTATAATTTCTCAATCTAAATGTGTGAAGGAACTAAGTTTTCATGGTGTCTTAACACAGAGACGAAGCACTCTGCACATAAAATGACAATACGTTATATTATTCTGCAGATCATATTTTCGCAATCACATTATTGACCCACGAAATCGCAAAAATATCATCCCTGCAGAAATATCCTTCTGAATGGTTTGCCATATTTATTGATAAGACCATGCCTGATGGATAAGCCCACTCATTTGAAATACTGTCTAGTATGACTACTAACTGGTGCTGTTTCACTGTCCAGCAATAGACCCACTCTCATCAAATCCGAGTTTATGTGTTGACCCCGGGGTTATTACAGGGTAACCACTGTATGTCCTACAATCTTAAGGTACCACCTTGATAAAAAAAAACATCAATACCTAAACACACTGCTATGAATTATTTACTAAAAAGATGTGTTTCTTCCTGTTTTCTCAGGTGTTGCCTCGTGTCTTTACCTGGCCTACCTGTGCTTAACGAGTATTGAATACGAACATCATTTAACGGCTGATTTCACAAAGGTAAGTTGTGTCGTTACCTACATTATTAATTATAGACAGGGTTGCTAACCCGGACTAAGATGTTTGCCCTAGCTACTTGTCAGTGTAGGTAATTGTGTGTGGGGGGGTTGTTAATGATACTCTTCTGTGTAGATAATGATCATACATCACACATAACTGTCAGGAGATGAGATGGGGGGGGGGGGTTCGTTAATGATTCTTTCTAGTCAGTGCTGGTGAAAGAAGTAATGCACAATACTAAAATACACACAAGTTTGATTCTTAACTAATCACTAAAATGCTTGGGTGTTTAATTTGTTATTGATATGAAATTAATTCTTTTGATACTTAATGACTTGAGTTAACTTAAATCGTTGTGTGGACATCAATGTTTTTAAGTGTTCATACGTTTCTAATTTCTGGATGCAAATTTATGTGAGTGTTTAGTTCTGAAATTAGCATTTTTCATCACCCCATCTGTTGAAATGTGTTTATCAGATGACATTGGGGCACAGTACTTAATTGATATTTACATTTAATTTCGATTGATAGTTTGAAACATTAAAAAAAAAGTTTGAGGTAGACCGAAGAAGTAATGGTGGGTTTTGACCATGTCGCAGGGGGTGGGGGGACCATTTTAGATGCAGACATTCAGACAGCATAGGTGATTGGTACAGAATGATTTAGTAGATTAATCTGTCTGTCTGCAAAAATCTTTTAAATGAAGCTGGTTTGTTGACAGTGGTGTGAAGTATTTATGTGATTAAGCCTATTATACCTCAACCCTTCCACCCCGACTAACAATTCAAGCTTGTCCACGACTAACAATTCAAGCTTGTCCACGACTAACAATTCTAGCTTGTCCACGGGCCTGATCTGTTGCTTTTTCAACCCCTTGAAAGCCGTCAGTATAATTTGATTTTCTTTAAAAAGTTGTTACAACAATTTGTAAACATTAATGAGCCACTATCTTGATTTGTGTTCTAAGTGAAGAATTTTTACTGTTTCTCTCCTTCAAGATATTTTCTAGCCACTTTGATTACGTTAAATAACTGTATATTTGGTGATTATAGGTTTAATCAATAAATCTCAGTCGTTAATTGGATGATGATCAAAGGCTTCTGACAACTGCTATAGCATCTTGGGCCCATGCAGTTGTTCAAAGGATGGTTAGCTTACTTACTGTTTAATAAAAAATTTCAACCTTTAACAATTTTGTCAATATACAAGGTAAAACCTCACAATTTTACATGTAAATTTACGCTACTAAATATTTGATATCTGGAGAGTTATAACTAATTCAGTGGTTGTGTTTTAAAGTTACTCAAAAATAAAAATTTGCGCTAATAACTGATTTAGCTAATCACCTTTTGAACAACTGGGCCCTGCTGTATATTTGTTATGCCCTTGCCATTTAAGAAGGGGTCAGGTAGGAGAAAACCTTAGATAAGTGTTCAGTGTTCCAAGGTCAATTGCTATTAACAGGTCAAACACAGGCTAGGGCCAAGGGGCATTCGTGTCTTACAGACATTTTCTAGTCAGAAAATATTTCTTCACAATCCAAAATAGGGATTTTCATCAAAACCTCAAGAAAGCCATTTATATCAAAAGTGAATGATGATGGAATATCTCTTCTATCAATCACTGAAGGAGAATTTTAGCGCCTCAAAACCTGTTTGCATTAAAGTCATCATAATCTAGTAGAAATGGTTCATTCTGTATGATTTGAGCATAGCTTGTCTTTGAAATATTTATTTTGATGCCTCCTATTAATGGTGTATGTGTTTGAGAGAGAAAGCTAGCCTGTATCAACATTTAAAAGTTAAAGTCTGTTAGGACACCTAATGGTATATTTCTGTAAATATGTTAACTAAGGTCTATGTCAATCCCCTCAAGATAAACCTTAGCACCAGATAGAACCTAACACAGTAGCAATTAGACTTCGGAATCCATACACATGCTGTTGATACCACCACTGATTTCAGCCAGTTTCTCCGTCATCAGTCCGTTCATGCCTTGAAGTTCTGTCGGCCATCATTCTGGGGGCTCTCCATGTTTTATATCTCCAGGAGTCTCTGACATCGCAGCCTGCCAGTCTTTGATGCTCCGCAGTTTCCCAAACTTTGTCTCAAAATCATCATTTTAGTATTTGACTTATATCACATGTACAGTACATGTAAATGTGTTGGGTGTCCAATCAAAGTTCCTTTTCAGGTAGCTTACTCAGTGGGCCATTAGTGCCTCCTGCTTGCAGCTAGGGCACATCACTAATCATCTACTTTTCTTGAAAAATATTAATTGACCAGAACTGATGAGGCATTTTTTTTCTTGTTTTGCTAAATTTAGCATTCAACATCTATGGAGCATGGGAATTCATGCTGAATAGCTGAAGGGCATTCCCCCCCCCCTGTCTGCATTGGAGGGGAGGGGGAAATTTTGGTGTAAATCTTATTATATAAAAGACTACTGTTCATGAAGGAGTGAAGAGATTTCAACCAAATTTAATATTGAGAATTCAATGGCTGTATCCATTAGGGGGTGATTAGGGGAAGTAAGGATACATTTTTCAGCTCCTTCTTAGTTTCACCAGGCAGGTTAGAATTTAACTTATTACCAAGTAGCAGAATTCAAAGTAAATTTAACAAAAGAAAGGTTTTCACGGCTCCGCTGAAACATTAGATACAGCTGAGTAATACAGGCTCTCAATCACACGGCCTTAGTCAGGTTTAGTTTCAGTTTAACCCAGAAGATCAGAGGGATTATCCTGTATTATCACAAACCATTGATATGAGTGAAGATGTACAGGAAATACATTGTGGGATTTATATAGAAGACGCCAACTCCTTCATGTGGTAAACAATCTTTATATATTAATAATGAATTTTAAAAAATACAGTCTCCTTTCCATCCTGCGCACATCCGCACAGGAAAAACATTACTGGAGGTTTTACCTCAGCTGTGGTCAGTGTGGGTCATCTGTCTCGTCAGAGTTAAAGAGAAATGAGGATAAAGGGAAAGCTACTGACCAATCAAAAGTGACCAATTAGTGGATCCCAGGTGACACGTTTTTGATATAGACATGATTTCCCTGTTTTGGATACATTAAGCAATGATAATTATTTTTGATGTGTTTTACTGGCCGAGAGTAATTAACTAGCTCTCTATCATATCAGACGGGTATCATCAGGCTGTATACGTCATATCACTCACAGTCTATTTAGTTACTGATATACTTCAAGGGGAGTAAAGAAATAGATAACGTTAATTTGATTGACATACACTATTTGTATACTGTTGTAACAGTCTTGCTGTCTCTGATATTTATGCAGTAACTCATATAGTTTTTTTAAAGCCCCCAAACTATCCTTTTAACGGACAATTTTACTGACTGAGGTCATATCTAGAAATATTGAATGTCCCTTTCCTCAATAGCAGTACAAGCTTGTCAGATTAATTCATCAATCCATTATCATTGCTAACCTCAATTGAATAGTCCTTGCAGCACCATAAATACTTTTTTTTCTTTTTAAATTTCAGTAATAATTGCACATGTGGACTCATCCTCGCCTTAATAAGTAAAAATTGTATGTTGAGATTCAGCCTTGACCTCAGTAATGGTTGTCTGTATGGACTCACCTTTGACCTCAGTAAGGGTTGTCTGTATGGACTCACCTTTGACCTCAGAAATGGTTGTCTGTATGGATTCACCTTTGACCTCAGTAATGGTTGTCTGTATGGACTCACCTTTGACCTCAGTAATGGTTGTCTTTATGGACTCACCTTTGACCTCAGTAAGGGTTGTCTGTATGGACTCACCTTTGACCTCAGAAATGGTTGTCTGTATGGATTCACCTTTGACCTCAGTAATGGTTGNAGTATGTACTCACCTTTGACCTCAGCAATGGTTGTCTGTATGGATTCACCTTTGACCTCAGTAATGGTTGTCTTTATGAACTCACCTTTAACCTCAGTAATGGTTGTCTGTATGGACCCACCTTTGACCTCAGTAAGGGTTGTCAGTATGTACTCACCTTTGACCTCAGCAATGGTTGTCTGTATGGATTCACCTTTGACCTCAGTAATGGTTGTATGTATGGACTCACCTTTGACCTCAGCAATGGTTGTCTGTATGGATTCTCCTTTGACCTCAGTAATGGTTGTCTTTATGAACTCCCCTTTAACCTCAGTAATGGTTGTCTGTATGGACCCACCTTTGACCTCAGTAATGGTTGTCTGTATGGATTCACCTTTGACCTCAGTAATGGTTGTCTTTATGGATTCACCTTTGACCTCAGTAATGGTTGTCTGTATGGACCCACCTTTGACCTCAGTAATGGTTGTCTGTATGGACTCACCTTTGACCTCAGTAATGGTTGTCTGTATGGACTCACCTTTGACCTCAGTAATGGTTGTCTGTATGGACTCACCTTTGACCTCAGTAATGGTTGTCTGTATGGACTCACCTTTGACCTCAGTAATGGTTGTCTGTATGGACTCACCTTTGACCTCAGTAATGGTTGTCTGTATGGACTCACCTTTGACCTCAGTAATGGTTGTCTGTATGGACTCACATTTGACCTCAGCAATGGTTGTCTGTATGGATTCACCTTTGACCTCAGTAATGGTTGTCTGTATGTACTCACCTTTGACCACAGTAATGATTTTATGCCAGTATCCGTCCAGCAACATAGTAATAGTATGTCAGGACTCATCCTTGAAATCTTTAACTCATTCACCCCTGAAATTTCATAATGAACTATTCCAACCTTTGAATTGGAAGAGTTCAAATGTGTCTTCAGGAGTGAATGAGTAAAAAAAGTGTATTTTGAGACTCTTCCTTGACCTTATTAATGAGTTGACATTGATCTCAGCAATACTTATATGTCAGCACTCATCCTTGACCTCAATGATGATTTTTGTGAGACAGTTCATTGACCTCAATTACAATATGACACCATGGCTATTAGCTATAGGTACAGGAGACAATATATGAATTGATATTGAAACCTTTAAATTTTTCA